GAATACTTGGGGCCGCTTTTCGTGTTTACTGCAATTCGCCGACGTTCGCCTTTTATCTTCCGAGTGAATCGGAAATATACAGGATGAAATTGCATTTAATGTTTTATACAATAGCTCAGCTACTCCACTTAGCAATTGAACCAAAACTTTACGCTAAACAATTTTCTTTAAATATAGAGATTGGATAAATGAAAAAGCAACTTGGTTATATAAAACGTGAAGTGAGTTTATATTTTATTAAATATTTTCTATGAGCTTCATTAAATCTAAAAATAACAACAATATCTAGTTAAGAGAACGTTTGAAAATTGATCCATTCATATCCATAGCAATTTGACTAATTTAACTTCTCGAATAATAAAAATTATGACCAAGGCACGCATATCTTTCCGTCTATGCTCACAGACTATTTTATGTCGTATGATTTTTATTCACAATCTGTTCATCAATATGAACATTGAGCAAATTTAAGAATGCGGTTGACATTAAATAGATAATCTTTCCCAGTGGATAGTTACCATTATGATGATTTTGATTTTTTAATTTGTAGGTCGGCTGTCGTCTTTCTTATATGTTAACTTCAGTAGTATATTTATGCTCTGCTATTTCTACTATTTCCTTTGACTGTGAGTCTGCTGCTATCCTGAACACCGTCATTGTCCATCGACTGAAGGTCCATATGCTGAACCTCATTCATTTGACTATCCGTCTGTGATGAACGATGGCCCTATTGCTGCAAGCACCGAGAGGGCTCGCAAAGGGCCTGGGTTGACCAGGGTTCAAACTGGCGCCCACAAAATCGCCCATTTATGATATATTATCAAACATATTGTTTGTTTCAAAATCAAAGCTATTCCTATTATTCCTATAAGAATTAATGTAAAATGTTCCGCCAATATCTCTGAAAAACGATCACTTGTATAAAATAAAACTAAATTTTAATTAATTCATTCATAATGGATTAAAATTTAGTTTGTATTGAGATTTTCAAAATCAGGATTGATGCGAGGTGTTACTGTACTCAGTTCTGGAATCCAATATATTTATACTCACTTAAACCTTTATAAGTTTGTATAATAAAAATAACAAAACTTTATAAACTCTTAATAAATAATAATAACAATAATATTTCTTGTAAACACAATAAAATTTCATAACTTTCATAAATTTCTTTCGTCGTATAATCCACGTACCTGGGACAATTTGGGAACTGAAATTATGTTTAGATACTAGTCTTTTTAGATTTTTGTACGTAAATTAAGATTCCTCTGTATATGTAAACCTATGTTCATCTATCTTTGAAACATAAGAGTCACTTCTATTCTAACACCATGTTTCTATGCAAAATATGGTAATTTATTTGTTTAAATTTTATAAATAACTAAAAAAGTATATTTTTCAACTAACAATTTTTATTGAGTTCGCTAAAATATGAATAACAAGGCCATTACATGGTGTCTTTTCGTCTGTAGTTTACAAATAATTTCATGGATACTGTAGTCATTGATATCATATATTCAGAAAATACTAATACTATGGATAATCTTCAACCAACTTGAATCTCAAATAAAAACAATCGAGGAAAGTTTCAATTGTTGAACAAAGAATAAATCATCCTTTATATTTCTAAGCTAGAAACAAAACAATCAGAAAAGTGAATAAATACTTTACTATAAAAATGAACTTGAATCCAGAGATTTCTTTCTACCTTTATAAACAAAATGAAATTAATTAAATATACCTAAAACTGTTGATTAATAGATATACCAAAAAAAAATTCATTGATTGAAATACAGCATATTTGTGTTAAAAATCTATTATTATAATCTCGGGTAATTGATTAAATATACCGCACTGTTTGAAACCGTACTAATCGAGAACTTTAAAACCTCATAGAATTTACTGCTCAAAAATAGAATATAGACACTTCAAAAGTGGGTAAATTACTTATATTGTAACTCAATTACTCGAACAACTTGAAAGTCGAACTATTAAAACAGTAGACAGGTAAATATTAACTTTCAAATAATACTTTAACAAATGTCAATAGTGACTGAAATCTATGACACTATTTAAATTGATAAAAACGCAATTCACAAATCTTATACTCATCGAGACCAAGCAAATTCCCATTGCACCGGCTGCCGCAAGTTTGAGAGCATTATTAGAATAACATTTTTCACTTTTATCTCACGAACTCGAACAAATATTAGCATAAAAGCGAATGGACGAACTTTTACCGCTCGCATATTTGTTCCACTTTCTTCGCCGTTTCCGCCATCTCCCAATTCAATTCCGCTCCGATTTTTCGCTCGCCAAATAATAATATGCTTACTTTGTTCCGAACTGATACAATTGAATAAATATTCGATTTTCGCGCGCACTTCCGAAGTGCTCTGTCCACATGCATGTATATATATCCAAGCACAAGTGATGCGAGGATAAAGAAACGAAGAAAAAAAAAACAAACTAGGTAAAGTTTTCACCGACGAAAGCGGTTTTGGAAAAATAGTGGAAAACTAAAAGTGTGGATATAGATAGATGTATATATATATATCCGTAAGCGTATATTGCAAAAATTTTCCGCAAATCATAAAACTCACTTCGCCGATATTGCATTTATATATCATGCGTCGCGCAAAATCGAGCTATTTGATTTTTATTCAAACCTGTATTACTCACCCTTCTACACACACCCAGTCGCACATATTTTTCCCCTCAATTTTATTATACTAATACGAGAATCGATTCGTCTTCCTATAGTGAACCGATACGTGAAAGAGTTTTATTGGAAATACTGGAGCGTGCTAATTAAATGACCCGGCGCATCCGCACGTGTCAACAACTGTTTAAGTATTGATTACATAAACCGTATTTATAACCGAGACTTACAATGCAAGTTCAATTGACATCGAGAATTCAATAACGTATTATTAATATACATATAATACTCAACAACTTCAAACAATTAAGTAACGTTCTTTGATTACAACCACAGGAAGTTCACAAATTCAATAATTAAACACAAACCTCAAGAAACAATACTATGTTTTCATTAAGCCGAATAAATTTTAACAGATAAATAAGCATAATTCATTGTTATTATTAATAGATTATAAAAGATACACTTAATACAATAACAAAAATAAAATTCAAGTCTGCAAAGAGCTATGGATTATTGGTCTTTGTGCCATAAATAAAAATATTTATAAAATTTTCTTTGAGCTGCACCTAAGGAACCAAACGATTAATGAATTAGTTTTCTGTCAACAACTAATTAAATTGGAGGAAGCAATTAAAGAAAAATGACCAGAATTGAAAAAATGATCCACCACAATGCAAATTCTCACATATTTTGGTAGGTAATTCGTGGAAAATTATTGGAGTGTGGGAAGTGATGTCGCATCTCCCATATAGCTGTGACCTTGTACCATGAGATTACCATTTACCTTGAAATTTTCAAAACTTTTTGAAAGGAAAAGCATTCAACAATTATGATGAGCAAATATCGCATTTGGTTCAGTTTTTTGCTGATACCTACCAGAAAACAGTAGATATAATATTATTATGTTCAATATTCTCATAAAAATGTCCATGAAGAACATAACGAATATCATTTATAATCTAAATGCTGTCGATGATGTTGGAGATACCTAAATCAGAATGGACCGTTACGATGATAAACGGAATCTTAACAAACGGCCATGAACAGATTTAGGCCAATTTGAAGACTGGAAGAAATCGATTGGAATGAAGGCTGAGTAGTAACTGCTCGAATAATTTATCAAATTGCCTGTTATATATTTTACATGTTAATTTATATTCTATTTTATACGTATTTTTAAATTTATTTTTTTGATGAATGTTTGTATAATAAGCAAAAGTTTGGTAAATAATTTATTCTTTTCTATTTATTACTTATTTCAATTTAAATATATTATTTTATATAATATTGTTTATTAGTCAATTGTTAAAATATTGATAAAATAAACTATTGCAAATTTAAAAATATATTTAAATAAAGTAAAATAGATATTCACAAAGAAACTAAATTACATAAAACAATAACAAATAGATAAAAACCTATGTTAATCTATGAACAGCTTCAAACTTTAATTATTATTACTATTATGGCTATTTATATAAGCTATAACTGCATCAAAAGAAGGATATTTATGATTATTTATTTACATTATATTTTACAGTTCTAATAAGAAAGACAATAATTGAAATCTCTTAAATACAGAAAATTAAATTATTATATAGTTTATTAAACATTTAACAGGATTTTAGAAATTCATTTAATGCAGAAGGTGATTGTTTTCTAGTGGTAGATTTAGAAAAGAAAACGTTGTATTATTTTTTACTGAATGATCCAGATTTAGGAAGAAATGTTATTTTTAAACATATTTTTGAATATGATTTAAATAAATTGACCATAAGAACTTTTCTTTGTTCAAAAAAAGTTAGTTCTTAACAAAGGAACATATATTTTCTTTTGTGAAACGCATTCTATTCGTTAATCGAGGTATGCATGTATAAATTATTTTTGTACATTTTATATATAATTTATGCATGTTGTTTTGTGTTTGGTCTATTTTAATGTTTTATGTTTCTTAAGTCGCTCATTCAAACGTTCATGTTTTCTACTAATTGTTGGGAATAGAAATGTGAGTCGCAAATGAAAAATAACATTTGAAATGCAATCTCTCGTGCAAAGATAGGAATTTACGAATGTTATCACAATAGATGTGCCCTCCCTTAGATCTTTATAAAATGTTGTCTGTTTCATTATTATTATTATGTTTTCTGCTTCGTCTTTCTGCTTGTGAAGGGACTGAAGGCGTTTATCATTTGAACGGATGAAGGCATAAAGACGCGCGTTTCCGCTTTTTACGTTTTCCGCTTTCCCTTTGTCCGCTCACGGGCTCGCATTACTCTCGTCTCGCTGTTTACGAAATTCTTTTTACCGTATTTTGTCTTTGTCTGTCTTGCAAAAGGTAAATCCACTGGGATCGTGACAAATACAAGGATAACCCACGCTACGCCCGCCGCCCTCTACGGCCATTCCCCGTCCAGGTACTGGGAGGACGACTCGAAAGTGCCGCCGGCCGCCCGGAAATCCTGCAAGGACCTTGCCCGTCAGCTCATCGAGAACGATCCCGGCCGGAACATCAACGTAAGTATACCACTACCACTACTATTGAACCTCTCATTCTCATCTCTCCTTATTCTCTCGATCCTCAATCCTTGTCTTCCTCCTTCCGTTTCCAACCATCAATTCATCAATTTTCTCCGACCGCTCGTTAAAGACTTCCCAGGTTTATTAGCGCACAAATCAATCGGTTCCCGACACAAATCGCATGGAAACTGAACATTACCATATACTTGCTTCGGTTGCCGCAATATTAGTGTTCCCTCGACAGATTTATTGCCTCGCATTCATATGTAGCTTTTTTATCTTCGTCCTGTCAATATGGATGGATGTTCGGGTCCCACGCGGATACCGACTTCACTCCGGGAAAACTTATACGGGCAATAAAAGTGACCGCGGAAAACTCAGTTTTTCTTTACGCCCGTCCTCGCAATAAATATTATAGACATTCATCTTCAAGCTTTGTCAACCTCCTCATCCTATATATACAGGGTGTGATCTTAAACACTTCCAGATATTAACAAAATTCATAGATGTAGCTTGTTCAATTCATAAAATACTTATAAAAAAATATGTCTATCTCAAAACTGTTTTATTACACCCTACAAATAAATATTACTAACATTTATCTGACTGCTTTAGTGTTGGTTTAGCCAATATATACGAGTGTTCTAAATTGCGATAATGAACATTTTTATAAAGGTGCGAACACACTAAAATCAAAATGAAGATTTTATTTATGCGGACCCAAGCATTACAATATTACAGACTTACTCTATAAACTTTATTATCCATATACTTGGTGTTTTTAAAGACTTGCGAACATGGAAGAAGTTTATTGTTGTTGTATGTTCAATTAATAAAAGATCTATAAAAAATATTTGAATGAAAACTTCTCGTTTTATCATAATTTGTATACATACTTTATTTATTATTTTAAAAAATCGGTAAATGTGCATAAAATATGGTGATTTATGACTATATTTGTCGTATATCTTAGATAGTTCTATACAGTATATAGATATTTTATTATCAGTGGTTTCAAACTCAAATTGATCTGAAAGCAGCTGACGGAACGGGAAAATAATACTTATTACATAACATAACTTTTAACAATATCTCCATTATTCTGTTAGACCGTAGACCGTAAATATTTTCATGTCTTAATTATGAGAATGCTTAATTAAAACGTTTTAGATTAATCAAAAGAGATATGAATATTTAATTTCCACAGAAACAATCAAATTTTAATTGCTTTTCGTATTATATTTACCTAGATTTTAATAACAACAATATTTACTAATTGTTCTTCATGACAATTAGTAAATATTGTTGTATTAATTAGTTTGCATTCAATAAAACTGAACAACTTGAGTTAAAACAATTTATTTATTTTGTAGAGGAAAATAAAACTTATATAGGGACCACAGATGGAGTCGTGGTACATGACCTGTATCTCTGTATACCTCTGTTGATTGCACTTGCATGTCTGGTACTTCACTTGGTCCTCTTACTTACGTCAGTGCTGGCCTCCACTATTTACGTGGGTCCTTTGCAGCCTACACTCGTCTTCTTCTTTAGTTAGTAGCACATCTGTTACTAACTCATCCTCTTTGTTTATTCCTAAAACATACGAAATACCACTACTGAACACCAATCCAATACCAATCTGAGATTTATATTTATCTATTCATTAAGTTTAGTACAATCTTATGCCATTGATAAATTATAATCTTAGAAAGCCAGTATCAATATTGCTTTTTACAGCATTTCAGAAATGCTTGTAAAAACATTACACTCTTTGCTTGTTTTTATATTAAAAACTATAATGGTTTCCCAGCATTTTCCCAAATTGTTGATAATATTTTGTTAAATGATATGTGTGTAATTTGTAAATTGTCTTGATTTGTAGTTAATTATGGATAATTATATATATATATATATATTTCTTGTATTTTTCAAGTATTGAAATACCTCAATATCCTGTTTGAAATAGGACTAATCGATGAATTAAATACAAACAAAAATAAACTGCACAGAAAGAGACTTGACTGTATTGAGGCAAAGAAGATCATTTATTTATATAGAAAACATAATTTTCTGTATTATTTTATATTATGATCAATTAAAATTTAGTTTTTCTTGACATTTTCAAACCGGTCTATAGTGAATCCGGACTATTCGAAGCCGCGCTTTATGAGGTATTACTGTATATTCCTATGTCTATCTAAATTCAAAAACAATTATTACAATTAGCTTTGATCCAATTGTGAGACTAATCTTTAGAGATTAACATGTTATCGTTTCTGTCATATAATTGAAACAAAATGATATATCTAAATTAAATTAACTTCCAAAAGATGATTATCACACATAATTTACCCACGTCTCTATTTAAACATATTTGCATCTGCTTATCTCAATTGTAATTTGACTAATACGATTTTCAACCATCCACGAATTTATACACGTTCAGCAAAAATATTCATTTGCATTACACATTGATTTTAATTAGTTGCATAAATATATTTTGTATTAATTATAAATGGTAAAATATTAAATTAAATTCATTGCATAATTTTAATCAACAAATTCTCAAAATGATATAATTAATAATCATTAAAATTAATGTAGTGTTTTCTGTATAATATTCCTAACTTTTTATTTTAAAAATTTCTCGTTTTTTATGTAAACTAAAACTTTCATGTAACTCACGTTATTCATAAGCTACAAGTACTTTTCTATACATCTTATGGTCATCGTATAGCATCATACATTTAGGTAAGCTGTGTGCGTTCTAATGATTATAGCTAATTGCAAAGGAACCTTACCTATAAGCTCACGATTTAAACGATTCCTGAAAAAGCTTTAGTGGTTATATTTCCGTGCGCCCAATTAGAGTCCATTGCATAAAAATCGATTTATAAAACTTGTTTTTTTTATTATATAAATGTTGGGTGCATTTAATGGTATCGAAAACGGATCGATTCAAGAATAATATTAGTTTGTAAAAGGGGTGGATATTAAAAGAAAATGTTTGTATTTAAGAAAAATAGTATCTTATTTTTCACGAAAATGCTACGCAATGTAATTATTCATTAACGCTCAAATACATAAATGTAATTTGAAAAATGAAATGTGATCTTTTTTTATAATTCACAACAATTTATTAATTTAGTATTTTTCAAAATAATAATAAACAAAATGTATTGTATAATAACATACAAATATTGACCGCAGTCTTTCCGCCCTAAATAATTCTATACTCAGTTATATTTACATTATGTAAAATCTTCAAAGTGTTAACTATTATACGTGATTTGCAAACATCAAACCAACGTTTTCAGATGACATAATATTAATGTAATTCCATAATCTTTCAGTCGTGACATTCCAAAAGCCACAAACTGAATTACTGAAGGATGACTAATCATTTACATACAAATCCGATTATAGTGGCAATTCCAATTAAAAGCACTGCTAACAATCATCAATAACAGTTAGCAAATACAGTGCGATGTTTTGGAAATAAATGAACCTTGAGACTAAAATAGCAAATAAGATGCGTTTCACTAAGTTACCACTAAAAAGGAAGTTTCGCATGCCATAATTCTATGCCATAATATTGATACGTAAAGTATAGTTGTATTAATTAAACAGTCAACGTACATAAAACGTGAACTTTCTAAAATATGAGTTTAAAGTTGATTGTTTATGCTTTTTACACTTTCATTTATTTCTAACTTAGAATAGTTTTCATTAAAAAAATATAAAATTCAATGTTTTTTTAATTTGCATTAAAAACAAATCTAATTTAATTTAATTATTAATGTTTGACGTAGATAATATGTTGTCAATTATTCAAATTCTTTATATATAATATTATTTTTCATGTATAATAATTTGTTTATTAAAATATAAATATAAATTGAAAGAGAATTTATTTGTGTTTAAATAATATATTTTGCTCAATTATATTATATAATTAGGTCAAAATCATTATATTTTTATATCATTTATTTATACGATCTTATTTATATGAAATACTGTTAAGTTTTCATAAAAATTCAGTTTTCAGACAGTCTTTAGGACAGAATTATGTTTGAGATTGTACCAATAAACTGTATAAGTGCATCCACACTTTATTGTTTAAAAAAAATACTGATAATTTTGCGAAATAAACTAAAAATCAATAACACATAAAACCTATCCAAATTAATTGTTTGGAAAAACTATCATGGAACGATGTGAATCTAATGAAATATGCACTATCTATAAATCTCACAATAACTGATCCATTGATAAATATTCATGGTTTGTTTATTACCGCCAGATATACAAACAAACATATTTTCAATGTGTGCGAAATCAAACTGAAATTGGCTACTGATTGTTTTCCAGATTTGTTTTTTTTTGTGGTCAATGTATCTCCATTGTTCGATGCATTTTAATTGCATTGATTGCGGCAAACTCTACTTTCTATATACAATACAATAAAATAAATTAAAGCAAAAACAAATTTGAAATCGTATATTATTATTATTGATTTTACTAATTATTTTAATAATAATAATATTTATTGCAACAGTCAAAAACAAAATCACACATTTTCATTCAATTACAATAATTATGAAACAAAAAATATGAACTAATGCAAATTAAAAATTATTTTTATTGGGATATTTTTCACTATGAAAAAAAAAACTTTCACGTATAAAAACAATAATAACAAAATTTCCTTTCGATATAATACTGTGTTTGATCACTTAATGAACATAATTCGTTCAAAGTTGTTAGCAACATATCCATTTACCTTAGATTTTCATGTTACTTACATCATGTTACCAAACATACGTTTATTACCCGTTATGCACGTTATCTGTTCACACACTGTAAATAATTAAAAACCGGGAATTCCAGGAATTTTGGAAAAATATATAGTCTCGGGAATTATCGATCGAGAAATTTCCAATTTGCAAATGACACTTAATAAATATCTAAAACATGTACTTTATCTTTGCAAA